GCTGAAGGGGGCGCATACGCAGCAGACCCAACTGTAACACTGGAGATGCTGCTGCCATGAGGCCCAGCATCCTTTGAAACACTTTGAGCGGGCGAGCGGTACCGATCTGGAAGGAGGTCGCCAGCCTCCGTATGGCCAGAGCTCGTTTTGGCGTGACTACAGCTTTCATTTGGGCTGAGTCGAAAATTGTAACGAAATACGAAATTCGCTGGCTGGGAAGCAACGAGCTCTTGGCAAAATTGACCCTGAGTCCCAGGCGTGGCTGAGGGCTAAGGAGAAGGGACCTGTGGGATACTAGCTCAGCCTCTGACTGGGCTAGGATGAGCTAGTCGTCGAGGTAGTTCAGAATGCGAATTATGCACTTCGTAAAAGTGCGGGGGGCCAGGGACAGCCCGAAGGGAAGGACCGTGTATTGATAAGCCACTCCCTCGAAGGCGAATCTCAAGAATCGCCTGTGACGGGGGGCTATCTGGATGTGAAAGTATGCATCCTTCAGGTCCAGAGAAAAGAACCAGTCTCCCGAGCGAATTCGCGCGAGGATCTGTTTCAGTGTAATCCTCCTGAACGACCTCTTCATGAGGGTGTCTGAGATAGCGGATGGGTCGGAGGCCACCATCTCTTTTGGGGATGAGGAAGTATCCAATTTGAAGCTGTCAGTGATAATAATCATTAGTGACCGCATTCCCTTTTAATCCGCCTAAAAAGATCAAACCACTCATTAGAAGAGGAGTACTGATGATCTTTATGTGTAAACGCTCAGGCAGATCAAAAGTGCTGCGCGCAATCTCTCAGATCCGCTCATGGCGGACGAGGGGAGGGGCGGGGCCGCCTTCATTGAAGAAGACGAGCCGTGAGCAAAGCAGAGCGAGACATGAACTCTCGTAGTGAGAGCGATCTGTCTCAGCGAGCGTAGCCTCAGTGTGGGCGTTGCCCAGGTGAGAGGCGCATTCAAATATGAAGCTGTCAGTGATATTGAATCATTGGTGACAGTGTTCTGCTCCTATCCTCACGTGTAAACACACTGGCGGATCAAAGAGCTGCGTGGAGAGTGATGCATGCGGGGATTTGCCGGCGTTAAATCACCCATGCCTGATCGCTCATCCCCGTGAGTTCACCATTTCTTTCTCTGAGTAACTGGGAGGAGAGAAACACCAGAGCGGGGGAGGCGGGGCTTAGCGACGCACACACAAATGTGAAGCTGCCCACGTTTCGCTTTGATCCGCCTGGGAGGATTAAGCTGCTCATATAATGAGGTGCACCGATCCTCATGTGTAACACATACCGGCAGATCGCATATGGGAACAGTCCAATCACGCCGTGCTAATGTAGTCAGCGGCAGCGGCAGCATCAGCGGCAGCATCTGCTCTGATCTACTTTGTAGGATAAAGCCGCTCGATGTAAAGAGGGGCACTAATCCTTTTGTGTGAGACACGGATCGATGCGCAGCGGGGAGAGCGAGTACGCAGGCCCTGTGTCAGCGTGAGATCGCTCAGACCCGGTTGCTTAGTTCCCAGGCTTCGTCGTTTCTCTCTCCACGGCTTGCTGAGAGAGGAGAAGTAGCTCTCATTAAGCTATCGTATGGCTTCAGAAGTAACACAGAATAATTCGCACAATCGGGAAAAAAAAATAAATAAATCTCGGATTTGGATCGGCCCTCTCTGACCGATACCCGATCCGAGAAAAATGGCACTATCGGAGCCGATACCCGATATGAATATCGGATCGGCGCATCCCTAGGCTGGACTCGCTAGGGATGCGCATCCCGCTTCGTCCACGGTGAAAGCCAATCCGGCGATCGACAGTGCGAAGTTGATGTATTTCCTCAGCGATCAGCACGGATCAGCTGCAGGCATGACGAAGCGGATATCGTCTTCTTTTGTAAGGCCAAACAAAGTAGTTTCGCTTTCACAACGAAACACAGCGCCTTCACGACATGGCGGCAGCAACA